CATATCCTCCTCTGCAGCAAGAGGCAAAAGGTGCTTTCCCCTTTTTTTTATAGCAGCTATTCAAGTATTTGAAAACTGCTATCATGTCCCCTTTTGAGCACATTTTTCGGCAAGCTGAACATGCCTAGCTCTTTCAGCCTCTCATATGACTTGCCTTCCAAGCCCTTAATCATCTTTGTTGCCTACCTCTGGACCTCTCTAAGTGCTCCATGTTCTTTTTAAAATGTGGAGGCCAGAACTAAACGCAGTACTCCAAATGAGGCCTAACCAGTACTTTTCTAGAATCCCTGAGAAAATCATACTGATAATATTGAAATTTACCAAAATTGTAGTGTTTTGGTCTGTTTCTTTTATAAGATGTCACTGTATAAGTGACTAGATTCATAAAGCATTTACTAACTATGATTGCTATTATTTGCACAGAGATAACAGTTAAGCTCAGACAACTACAGTCTTTGGGGTTCTTTCTTAGTAATTTAGATGCTTTAGTAAGACAGTCAACTAAACTACCCCATAATTTTAATATATTGCAAGTCATCAATGCTAGAAAAGTATCACAAAGTTCAAAGTCCAAATCTCAAATTCAGTGAACAACCTTGGAGACTGAAGGCTAAAATATTGTTAAATATATATTAAGAAAGAGATAGCAGAAGATATAAATTGGGTCTTGTCATTTCCAAATAGTTTTCAAAGATATTTATTTTTTCTGCTTTTTTCTAAAATAATTTCCTTACAAGATACACTACTTAGCTCCCTGGATAGCCAAGAGAAGGAGATATGTGAGGTGAGGAGGAAGGCAGAGGTTTTATGGCTAGGTGAGATGGAAGAGATGGAAGAGATACCCCCGGCCCAGGGGCCCTGGGTCTTGTGCCCAATAGAGGATAAATTTCTCTACTTTCTATTCGTTTTATCCAATGACTAGTAAATGAGGACAGTTTCAAGGAAAGGGCTGGAGAACTTACTCTGCCTGAGATGTAGCTATGCTAGCAAACAGAAAATACAGGTTAAAACCCTGGATAAGGAGGCGAAGGATCTGAGTCTCCCATTTCCTGGGTAAATAAAAGTCCTAACTGGTAGTCCATTGGGTTAAACCATGGTAGGGCAATCTCCTCCATCAGTTTTCTGGTAGGTACACACATAGATGTGGACAGAAATTCTATAGAATCAAAAATCATGTCTAAGTGCCAAAAATGACACTTACATAGCTGGGTAACTGCTTTGTAAGCATGTACAGAGAAATAAGGTTTAGCCCTTTCTCACCACTTGTGTATTCTGGCCCCAAAACATACAACCAGGAGAGATCCCTCTGAGTATCTGGATATGCTCATAAGTGTAGTGCTGGGGTAGCAACTACAGATCCACTTCCTGTCCCCTTTTCGTGTCTTCAGCAAAAAAATCATGAGACTAGGGTTTCTCTGGATCCTGAGGATCTCTAGCTACATCACTGGAACCTTC